TTTACTGTTGATTTGATGGGGAATATATGGTTAAAAAAGAAGTAGAAGTTATTGATGTGATGGAAAATATTATTTTATTGAAGAATGTGTGGTTGAAAATGAGTAGAAGAATGAGAATGAGAAAAATAATGTGGCTCAAACGGGGATTAACCTAAATTATGGCTAGTAATTAAATCCTTTAAAATTGGAAATCCATTTATATTCCTTTTCTCAAAGTGACCTCCCACAATGAGAGTCAATGTTTACTTCACGTCTTGAATTTTTAAGACATTTTTTATCAAATAATTTTTTTGGATAAAGCCACTCAAACAGAAAAAATTGACAGGATTTGGAAATAGACTCGCGCGGCAGATTGTGATTTGGCCCTTTTTTAAAAAAAGTTTTCCACCTTCCAATGAATTCCCGCCAAGTATGTCTGTCACTATTTTTCTGTCAATATTGTCTGTTTTGTTCTCTAATTCTCTAATTTCGTATTCTGTTTTGACTAAATCACAATAGAAACGTTACATTTCTATAATGAAGAAGCCACTCCCAATAGACAAAACTGAATATTTTAGCTTCATCATTCTCAGACAGTTTCAACAATCTTTTTATCTTTTCTTCTTTACATGTAACACAAAAACAAGCAAATTTCCAAACTTGGGAAAAACAAGACTAATATAAGATACTAAATGTAGAATTTAATCCCTTTCCTAGGTTTATTATATTATTTGCTTGAACCTCATTTTGGCATTAGAGGAAGATGAGTAAAGCAACGATGAAGCCGAGAAGTTTGTGTTGACGCGTCCAGGGTACAAGCTTTGCATTGCTGATTTTGACGACGATGTAGCCAGAGCCCCAGTCGAGTTCTTATTTTCATGATTTCCCAGTGTGGGAGAGCCCTTGAGGAGGACATCAACTTTTGCAAACTCTTCCCTGTCATTCTTGATTTCCTTGAGCATTGCAGCTACATCTTTCATTGTAGGCCTTTCATCGGGGGACGAGTTTAGCATAGTAAGGCTATACCTAATACCTACATCATTTCCTCGATCTCAGATTCAGATCGGGATAGCAAACTTGGATCCAGAACTTCGAGTCCTCCCTTTATCTGCCTCACCCAATCGACTACATGAAGTCCATTGGGTATTGTTGGATCAATTGGTTGTTTCCCGGTCAAGACTTTCATTACAACAACTCCATGGCTATAGACATCAGTCTTTCCCATGATCTTCATCATTTAGCCATATTCTGAAGAAGAAAAATAACAAAAAGTCAGTCAGTTTAACTAATCTCACAGAAAGAGGGGGGAAAATTAACTATTAAGTTTTGAATTTGCAGTTAGGTTCTTTTCTTATAATCTGCAAAAGAAAGCAACATGTAGAACTAACCAAATAGAAGGCATTAGAACATTGAATGTATGGAAAAAAAATAAAGTTACCAGGGCTATATATCCATAAGAACCTGCAATAGTATTTGTGGACCGACCAAAATCACCATCCTGAACAAGCTTCACAAGGCCAAAATCCACAATTTAAGGCTCGAATTCAAGACCAATGAGAATGTTATTGACGTTGATGTCTCGATGAACAATTGCAGGAACACGATCATGGTGTAAATATACAAGTCCTTGAGCTGCCCCTAGCAAAATTTGGTACCTCAGTTCCCACTCCAGCAGTGTACCATTCCTATCGTGTAGTAGACTGCCTAAACTCCCATTAGGCATATAATCATACATGAGCGATCTTGTGCTTTTATTCCTATAACCCAAGAACTTGACAATGTTCTTATGGCGAATTGAACCAAGCGTTTTCACTTCGGCTGAGAAGGAATCACAAACTCCAGACTTCTCATCACTGCATCTATTAGTTGCAGGCCATAGTTTTTTAAATGCCACGACATCCCCATTGTCCATATCCACACGATAGACGACTCCTGAACATCCTTTTCCGATCACATTGGAATCGACTAGGCATCTTGTTAGAATTTGGGTGTGACCCGAATTCTATGTTGAAGTAATTGAAGAATTCTAATTGAAGTGCATGTCATGAAGAATTCAAATTTGGAATATTATTGGAGTCCTATGTCATGTTTAAGTTCTATTTTGGAAGCCTATTGGGAGTTAGAATTTGCTTTGGACTCAATTGTATGGTATTCTATTTCAACAACAACTCATTAGGCGGGTTTGGACATCCCCTGCTTATTCCCTATAAATGCTATGCTCTTCTATATAATTTTGTAAGATGAGAAAATAGATTACTAGAATTATAGGAGCCATTCCTTTGACATATTCTTGTCTTCTTTATTCTTTTGCCTGATCAAATATTTCATTATTATTTGTCATATAATTTGAACATCTCAATCCGGTGATTTGTTCCATAATAGTTGATATCAGAGCTATTTTGTTATCTTGATTATTTTGCAACAATTGGTATCAGAGCCTCATGTTCAGCAGTTCCACAAGAGTTCAATGTTTGATTGGTTCGGGGTTTTTTATTCGTGATGTCTTCCATGAAATATGACATTCCGCTTTTGGATCGGAGCACTAGATTTTCGCTATGGCAGGTTAAGATACGTGCAATACTCTTACAACTGGATTTGGATTATGCGTTGTTGGGAATGGACAAGATACTGACAATTTTTACAGTAGAGGAGAAATTACGGAAGGATAATAAGGCAGTTTCTCACATTCATCTTCATCTATCAAATACTATTCTTCAGGACATTTTGAAGGAGAATTCAGCAGCTACTTTATGGTTGGAGCAATTGTGTATGACTAAAAGTCTGATAAGCAAGTTGAACCTCAAGCAGTGTTTATACTCTCATCGAATGGCAAAAGGAGGATCATTGGAAGATCATCTAGTTGTATTTAAGGAGATCGTCGCTGATTTGAAAAAATTGAAAGTAGAATATGATGAAGAAGATTTGACCTTGATCATATTGTGTTCGTTGTTCGCTTCGTTTTCTTCATTTAGAGACACGATTTTGTATAGTCGTGATACTCTCATCATAAAAGAAGTGTATGATGCTTTATATTCAAAATAGAAGATGAAACATCTAATTTCTGAAGCCAGAGATGGAGAATGTCTGGTTGCTCATGGTAGTTCTGGAATGGACAGATCGAAATCTAAGTTCAATAATCAAATTTGTAACTACTGCAAGAAGAAGGGGCACTTAAAAGAATGATTGCTACAAATTGTAGAATAAAGAAAGGATGGCTAAAGTAGATATTCAGATACTTCAGACGTCGTGGAGAACGTTGTAAGTGATGGAGAACTGTTAGCTATTTCCGACATTGAGTCTAAACCAGAAGATGATTGGATTCTTGATTCAGCATATGTGTTTCATATGTGTCCTAATAAGAACTTATTTGCTACATATGAAACTGTTTCCAAAGGTGTCGTGATTATGGAAAACAACGCATCTTGTCGAGTTGCTGAAATTGGTATAGTCAGATTGAAACTTTGGATGGGACAATTGAAACACTTGACCATTTTCGACATGTTCCAAATTTGAAAAAAAAAATCCCATTCCGTTGTCTATCCTTGATTCAAAAAGTTATGAGTTCTTTGGTAGAAGTGGAGTTTTGAAGGTTTGTAAGGGTGTTCAAGTTGTATTGGAGGGATAGTAAATGTCTCAATTATACATCTTGTAGGGTCGTACAGAATTTAGAAGATTTAAAATCAGTACAAGTTCAAGACCATGGTGGACATTCAGTTTGGTACAATATCTTTAGGAGCCCATAAAAGGTCGGATTTGAAGAATACAGTTCAGTGGAGTTCAGAAGATATGGATAATGCCGCTTTGCCACCATCACCTACAGTGTCATTGTATTCAATTGTTAGGGACGGACCCAATGGACAAAGATATGTGGATGCTGATTTTGTTGAGCATATTTTATGTGGAATAGAAGGTGTGCAATCTAGCAAGGAGCATTCTGTAAAATCATTTGGTATTGATTCTGCTTTAGGTGTGTTACAGCCCATTTTGGTAAATTATAAAATTATTATAATTTTTTGGAATCTAAGATAACTCTGTAGAGTAGTGCTTGGATTCATTGGAAGATGTGGAGTATTTTGTGTTTGGTTGGAGAAATTAATTTTTTTTATTATTGTTGAAGATGTTAGTTCCTTCTTTGGTGAAGTTTGTATCAAGGTGGAGATTGTTAGAATTTGGGTGTGATCCGAATTCCTTGTTGAAGTAATTGAAGAATTCCAATTAAAATGCACGTCGTGAAAAATTCAAATTTGGAATATTATTGGAGTCCTATGTCATGTTGAAGTTCTATTTTGGAATCTAATTAGGAGTTAAAATTTGTTTTTGACTCAATTTTATGATATCCTACTTTATCAGCAACTCTAATAGGTGGGTTTAGACATCCTCTATTTAACAACAATTGGTATCAGAACTATTCTGATATCTTGATTGTTTTACAACACATCTCAATACTTCTTGTACCGAAAATTTGAGCTTCTAGAACGGGGGTGAATTGCCAAGGCAATGAATCTCTGATCTCCGATTCATCATAATCTCGAATAGTTCTATGAGCTCGAAGTACTGCTAGTATTCCAATTATCATCAATGCAATTATCATGGCAATGAGCAATACAATTGCCAATTCGATCCCCTCCACCTTTTCATCTCACTCCCTTGTTAAGCCACCCCTCGTCCTTTAGCATTATCCAGGAAACACGATTCCCTCCTAAAAGCACATAGGCATGGGTTACTAGTGAGGTTCGATGCAGTTAACTGGCGAAAGAGCTTGGTGAAATTATTATATTAGACATTGAGAGGGATAAGGTTATCTAGGTTGGCAAGAGAACTCAAATCCCCCTGAAGTTTGTTGTACAAAAGGTCTAATATCGAAAGCTTGTTGAATGAAGAAATTTGGGCGGGATTTCTCCCGTGAGTCCATTCCAACTCAGGTTTAGAGTGATTTCAAGGAATTCAATTTTAATTAACTCCAAAGGAATGCTGCCAGATAGCTGATTGCTGCTAAGATCAAGTAGTTGGAGACTGGAATAGATGCTAAGTAATGAAGGTATTCATCCAGAGAATGAATTCTTATTCAACATTAGCTTGTTCAATGAGATAAGATAACCAAAACTCGTTGGAATAGGACCTAAAGAACGGTTACTCGGAACATCAAGAACCTCAAGCTCAGACTATGATGACATTGAACTAGGCATGGGACCTTCTAATGTATTATTACTTAGGTCCACCATTTGTAACTCTGTACAACTTCCAATTTCATTGGGCACGAGTCCATAAAGTCGATTTCCAGAAAAATCAAGAAAATTTAAGCTTTTCAACCATTCAATTTCTTTAGGTATTCCACCCGTAATCTGATTATTTCCAAGTCTCAGTCTTACTAGGGAACTGCAGTTACCAATCTCTGAATGTATAGTACCCAAGGTATCATTAGATATCAATAAAAGCTTAATGACGTTTCGTAGTTGAAATAAACCTGGAGGCACAATACTAATGAGCGAATTGTGAGACAAATCTGGTGCTAGAAGGTTGCTACAACTAGCCAAACTTGAAGGTATACTCCCTTCAAGCTGGTTCTGCCAAGCCAAAAACACTTCAAGGTTTGACAATTTTCCAAGCTCGAAAGAAATCAAACACGAGATCAGATTCGTATCGAGCAGCAATTGGATAAGACTTCTAGCATTTGAAAGAACAGTAGTAATTGAACCAGACGTTATTATCACTGAACATAAGTTCTTAAAGCTCAACCAAAGCACCAATAGACTAAGGTACAATGCCAGACAAAGAATTCATGGATAAATCTATAGAAATTAACTCAGTGCAATTCCCAATCTCATCTGGAATTTCTGTTGTTGATATTTATATCTCTCAAGTGTACGGATCGTAACAAGTACTATAGTGGACCTATGAGTCTGAATATCAACACTATTTAACAATTGATTCAATTATTCCTAACTTCAATTTGATGGAAAACAAATAATAAAGTTTAGTGATTCTTGCGATTCTTTTTCTAACTATTTCTAACTAATTGAAAATATCAAAATTTTGCACACAACGATCGATTGAAGATTCAAATATGGGAAAATATCAAGGTATAACAATTTCATCTATTGATCACCTTTAATTCTTAATTCAAGATTCATAACCTATTGTAGTGTTTGATCGAACTCTTCTATGGTATTCAATTTACCTATCTCGAGGTTTCATTGAGCCTATTTAATTAATTCAATTCCATATCACTATATGAATCAACATCAGTAAACGAAAAACTAGTTGTAAGAATTCATATTATGACCGCAATAATTAATTTATGTATCTCTACACGTTATACTAATTTATCGAATTTTACTATATGGTCTAAATCTCAAACTCACATCTTGATTCGTAAGATACTCAAATAATCATCAAATTAATGATCAATTAATACAATGCATTAAACTCATAGTACAACCAACACATATATGAATAAATCACAGAAATCTTGAATAAAAGAATAAAGGATCATACATCAATTACATTGTTTACCCTAATATAAAAATTAGTTACTCATAATGTAAAATAAACACAAAAAATTGTCTTTGAATGCATCACCGAATTCTTTGATTAAAGATGTAAAAAAGAATTTAATCTTACACCAAAATCTTCTTCATCTTCCAATCAATGCTTTAAACTTGAATTCCTTGATGTTTTCCTTTTTGAATTGCGATCTTCGATCTCTCGTTGTATATTTGCTTTCTCAATGTGTCGAACTCTTTAAAAGTGTATCCTTTCTTCTATTTATACTTCCCTATACGTTCTCTCCAAATTTGGAGTTTTCTAGGCTTTTCATTTCCAAAACAGCAGGACCTTAAATTTTACAGTACAGCGCGCCTAGGCGCCACGATGTAGATCAGGGTAGTGCCTTAGCGCTAGGCGCTGCATCTCTATAATGGCTTCTTCTGGGTAAACACAGCGCCTGGGCGCTGACTTGCTGTTCCAAACTCTGTGTCTTTTTCAATATTTTTGTCATAACTTTTTCTTCCGATATCCAATTAAGGGGATTTAAAATGTATTAGAAAGATAACTCAAAGATATACAACTTTGCTAGTAGCTCCTTTTCAATTTGAACGTTTACTGGGCCAAAAACGAGTCTCAATCTCCAACTAAAAATCTGGACATCCTTGTGCAGTTGAAAATTGATTTGTACAAATATTTTGGTCATATTTTCACTCATTTTGACTTTTAATTGTATCCAATTGAACCCTAACATTCTCGAATCATCATCGTGAGCTCCAACACAACTTTTGAGTATTACACTTTAGCCCTCAAACTTTGGATCTTGCCATTTTTCGCTTCTTTCTTTCAATTCCACTTCCATTAATCGAGTTTCACCTTATAACACATTATATAATAAATTAAGCTATAATTTCATTAAAAGAATTACGAAATATCAATATTTTAGAATTCGGTTTTAGAATTTGAGTAAGTGTATAAAATACACTCTGTCAATTTCCCCAACAAAATTATTTTGCCATAATAACAATTTTTCCAGCTTTAACAGTTTGCCAATCTCTTTTGGAATTGAACCAGATAAACTATTCTCATACAAATACAAGTTCATAAGCTCAAAATAGTTACCTATTTCCGGTGGGATTTCACCAGAAAGCATTGTGGCATATATGGATAATGTCTGCAGCTTCTTGAGCTTACCTAACGATGCCGGTAGAGAACCCCTAAAACTGTTAAATTGCTGCAGTTTTCGAGCTCATTGGGGATTTTCTCGGTAATATCTCTGTGACCGCCGGCCCGAATGACTTTAAGACTCAATAATTGGCCTAATTCTGATGGTAAGTTTCACCAAGCTCGTTATTGAAAAGCAAAAGGTTCTTTAGGCCTTAACAATTGCTTAGCTCAACTGGAATTTTTCCAGTAAATTCATTTGAGTTCAAAATCAAATTTTGAAGGAATTAAAGCTTCCCAATGCTTGAAGGGATTGTACCCATGTGACTGTTGGAGCTAAGTTCAATGACTCTGAGTGAAGAACGATTTCTAATTTTGGTGGAATAGTACTAGTGATGTTTGCATCAGAAATCACTAGGGCTGTAAGCAAAATTGCCAAATCGGAAAACAAAATTGAATCTGCATTTTGGAAACTGTCTTTTGGTGCCACGTGGACCTATTAACGAAATGATTTTGAACCAAACCAAACCGATCAAAAAATGTTTGGTTTAAGTTTGAGAATTTTAATTGCGGTTTAAACCCAAACTGGACCGGCGAAAAAATATATAAAAATAAAAAAATAAAAAAAATGAAAATTTATGAAAAGTTCAAATATGTAAAATTCAAAAAGAATGAACCTATAGTACTGCGCCAATATTTAGATGAATATATATTGCTAGTAAGATATAAATATATATTGAATTCAATGAATTAATGTCATAAAAGTAGACAAACAAAAAAATATACTACAAAATCGGCGATTTAAAATCGGACCAAATCGTTAGGTTTAGATTTGAGTTTTTTTTCAAACCATTCAAAATGATTTGGTATAGGTTTGGATTTTTCTCAAACCGATTTAAACGGTTTGGTTTGAAAATTTGTCAAGAACTGGTAAAATCGGTCAGCTTACACCCCTAGAAATCACCAGTTTTTCAAGATATGTAAACGAAGAAAGATTTGACGGCAAAGGAAGCTCAAGTGGGACTGACAGAATGTTAATTTCATAAACAAACCCTGTTGTATTGCATGTTATGTAATTCCATTTGCATGGTGTAGGATCAAGTATATTCTAACTTCAAAAGGAAGGTGGTGGTGAAGAAGAATAACTGTGAAACCATGAAAACAATAAAGAACCCTCATGATTGGTAGCGGTGATGGCCGCTGCAGCAATGAAAAAGGTGGCTAAGAAGGTTAAAGAAAACAAGAGAGGTTGTGGTGGTGGTGGCGAAGATGAATAAAAGAGGTTATTTTGAAAGTATTACAGTTGCAATAAGATTTGGGCCTCGAGCTGATAATAAACATTTGCCTCAATTTCCAAAACTTTCTTCTCAGGTTTGCATAAATTAGGTTTTGCTATTTTTCTCTCAATCTGTGTGTATCCCTTGATTTAAACTCAAACTCAAACTCAAAATACTCTCTCACTGAAAGAAATATACTAAAGAAATACAGGCAAGAATGGAAAACCTAGAGATTGGAGACCCTGCACCATCAACCTACCACCATTGCAATCTACAGACCGCGTTTGAATATATGGGGTTTGCTATTTGTACATCCTAGTGTATAGTCCCTCGCAATAGGGGAGGGTCACGTCCAATAAAAAAATCGTAAGCCCCCCTATTGTGAGGATGTCTGTACACCGAGGTGTCACATATAGCAAAACCCTATATATACGTCTTTCTTTGTAAAGGAAGAGAAGTAAGTTCACAGAAACGAACATATGACGCTACAAATGGAGATCATTAAGGAGATGAAGAATCAATGCACGGTAAGTGGCTAAAGACCACTAAGACATTTGGCTTGAATTTTCTGACATATTTACTAGAAAATGATCCAAGGATATTTATTGAAGCTATGTACATTCCTGAACCTTATTGGAAAGAAGTTAAGTGCTAATGATGAAAATGAGTCCATTATGCAAATTCATATTTGAGAATTTGTTGATCTTCCATTGGGAAAAAAACCTTAGACTACAAATAGATCTTCAAAAAGAAGTTAAAATTAGATAGATCAATTAACAAGTACAATGCCACATTGGTAGCCAAAGGTTATAGACCAAAAAAGAGGTCTTGACTTCTTCGATATATCACATGTTACAATGATCATATCTATTGGAGTATTGATTGCAATTACAACATTATATAATCTCAAAATACATCAAATAGATGTAAAAACTGTTTTTTAAAATGATAAATTGGAAAAAAATATATATATGGAACAACCTGAAGGTTTGTGGCTTTCGGAAAGGAGCAAAAGGTGTTCAAACTTGTTAAGTCATTGTATAGATTTAAAAAAGTACCAAAGCAATGGTTGAAAATTTTAACAAATTATGTTGTCAAAAGGCCTTAAAATTAATGAATATGACAAATGCGTTTACATCCGAAGCACATTTAATTAATATGTAATTGTGTGTTTATACGTAAATGATATGCTAATAATGGGTAATAACTCGAACGTTATTACTACAACCTAGAAGATAAACTAATTTGATATGAAAGATATAGGAGTTGTTGATGTTATACTAGTAATTAAGATCTCCAAGACAACTAAAGTGATATCATTGTCTCAATCTCATTATATTGAGTCTATACTTAAGTTTAAATTCTCATACTGCTATTAAGTGTCAAAACACCAGTAGACCTAAGTCTATATTTAGCCAAAAATATTGGTGAACTCATATATCAATTGGAATATTCACGAATTATAAGAAGCTTGATGTATATCACTAAATGCATTTGTCTTGATATAGCATATGCAGTCAACAAGTTAAACAGATTTACAAGTAATTCATGTAATGACCATTGAAAGACATTAACGACGATTCTTAACTACTTAAAACACACGATATATTATTGATTACATTATTGTAAATATTCTGCAGTGTTATAAGGATATACCGATCCAAATTGATATCCGACACAAAGGATTTGAAATCTATAAGTGGTTATGTTTTACCATTGGAGGTGGGGTCGTGTCCTGAACATCCATTCAGCAAACTTGTATAACTTGATCTATGATGGAATTTGAGTCTATTACTCTAGATAAAATTGAAGAAGAAGCAGAATGACTTCGTAATTTTCTCGAGGATATTCCATGTTGGGAAAAAGTAGATACCTACTATTAAAATACACTGTGATAGTCAGTCGGCTATAACAAAGGCACAAAATAGTATGTATAATGGTAATTCTCGACATATTCAACGGATACATAATACCATTAAACAATTAATTTCAAATGGTATAATCTAAGTTAACTATGTTAAATCGAAGGAAAATATATCGAATTCTTTGATGAAATGATTATCGAGAGATCAAGTGTACCACCTTTCATGGGGAATGGGCTTAAAGCCAATTGACTAGAATCATCATAACCGTAATCCAACATTGTTAACCGGAGATCCCAAGATCTTTTTTCAATAGGACAATTAAGTTAAACAATTCGGAGCAGAACTTGTTCCCATTCCTATAGAACAAAAATGTCAGGTTGTTAATTGTATAAGGATAAGTAATGCTATTAATAATTCCTATATCTTGAAAGAATCCAAGAGAAGTATAATATAATACTATAGAAGATTAACAATGGAAATGTGAAGTGGGCCACTTCTATGAGAATTAGGGGTGGGCATGGGTTGGGTTGGGTCGGTTTTTTACTCAACCCAAACCCAACCCAACATGGTCGATTTGACCGAAAATCAACCCAACCCAACCCATTTAAGTGTTTCAACCCAAAATGTAAAAACTGCATTTTTACATGGGGAGTTGGAAGATGATATCTTCATGAGCCAACTACAAGGGTTTGTGGCTAGAGGCAAGACTAGGGGTGGGCATGGGTTGGGTTGGGTCGATTTTTTACTCAACCCAAACCCAACCCAACATGGTCGGTTTGACCGAAAATCAACCAAACCCAACCCATTTAAGTGTTTCAACCCAACCCAACCCAGTCAAATTTCGGTCGGGTTGGGTTGGGTTGGTCGGTTTTGACTTTATGCAAAAAATCTTGGGAACAATACCAAAATCTCTCACAAATTAGGCCTAAATACAACAATATATAGGATATATGCATATATAAGAGTCACAGTGAATATCTATTCAACAATGCAGATTAATTAGAGCACTAAACTGTCCTCTAAAGTCAAGTAAATGAGATCGTGCTTGCAAATCAAGGTATACTTTTCAATATCATCACCCATAATACTTCAGGACTTGTTCAATGTCTATTTGCCATCCTACATTTTCAACATCAGTACCCTCTCCAAATCCAAGAAAATACATTGGTCTTTACAGCCACAATACGAAATTACACCCAGACATTTGAACAATTCAATGAAAGAGGAGTCCATGTTATTCATTGAAATAAATCAGAACGAGAATGCTGACTTACCTATATACACACCTTAAGACCATGGAGCAAATCTGTCAATCTCCACAGGATTTTATCCATTCAATTAGAGACTAATTGGTTTTGAACATCATCTCTACCCTACTAACATCTATATACATCAACATGAAGAATAAATCAGAATAATCCAATATCAAAGTTAAGACAATTGCTTCAACATGTACAAACAATTCCAACCTGATGTACTATTTCTGCCACAACGAGAACATTGCACGCCTATACATAAACATAACCTCAATTTCATATCTCTATTTCCATTGCCATTAATAAATCTTTTCGTGGCAAATTGTCTTCGCTGCCCGAAGCGAACAAGGCCACTGAGATGTCGGCCAGCTTCTTTGCACTCAATCGAGACCTTGGAACCTCGACTGCTTTGGAGCATTAGGAGCTTCAATGTCATTGAACTCACCCAAATCCTCCAAATTCTGGAACCCAACAGACTTCCTTGGAGGACTAAATGCAAAATGCCACTGCTTTGCAATCGGAGTCTGTTTATTTACTCAAATAATTCTTAAATAATTTGTCTTACAAATTATAGACTTGTATTTAGAATATACCTGCTGTTGATAACACCAATCTGGTGAAATGTAGACATAAATGAAGATTACTCTGTGATAGCTTTAGCAATCTGTTCCCTTGGACTCGAAAGCCTAGAAATTCACACGAAGAAATTAACAAAAAACAAGAAGGACCGGACAGCCACAAGAAACAACTAACAAGAAGGCAAAAACTAACCTTGAAGAAGTCGGCGAAGGGAGAAGTCGGCGAAGAGAGAACTCGGTGAGGGAGGAAATGAGGGGAAATGAGATTTAGGGCTTTTACTTCTACACGTTTTTGTTTGGCAAATTTTTTTTTTTTGTTAAATTGGCGGGTCGGGTTGAGTGGTTTTTGTCGGGTTGGGTGGGTTAACCCGCAACCCGACCCAACCTGACCCACTTAACCATGTCAACCGACCCAACCCAACAAAAAAAGGGAAAAACCCGACCCAACCCGGGCGGGTTGGGTTGGGTCGGGCGGGTTGATCGGGTCGGGCGGGTTTTTGCCCACCCCTAATGAGAATTGTGGCTTATATTCTCTTAAAACACTTGTGAATTCAAGAGTTGTTTAGGGTCAAAATTAACACAACCATAAGAACCAAAGTTGTTAGTGAAGTTAAGGTGTTGGTATAATTATTTTGATTTATACCAACGGTTGAACTATTCAAGACATCACATTCACATGAAATTGAAAGGTCGGGAAGAAAGACGGAAACAATCTTGAGTTTTTTTTCCTTTTAGTTGTTCTTGAATTATCTACTTGGATGTCTTCTTCTTCTTCTTCTCTTAAAAGCAATGATGTATGAAATATGGTAAATTTTGGGTCTTGTATCAAAAGCTTTTTCAAAACTTTGCAAGAAATATGAAATTTTCTCTCCAAAAGCGTTTTTCTCTAGTGATTATATTGAAAATATGTATAAGACCCACCAGTTCAACTTGAATTCTTTCTTATTTATAACATAGGCCCTTCATTTTCAAATCATTAAATTTTAATCCACATCCTCCACAATTGATTCGAATAGATCAGATACAAGTTTCGAATGTTTGCAGTTTAGTCCTAAAACGTTCTAAATGATGGATTTAGCTCGCGAAACTTGTGAATCTCTTTTCATTGCTTCATTAATGCTTCATATACAATCTGATTGATATTTAATTGCTCCAAATCAACTCCAATTTAAGGTTCAGAAAATCTCTCTCATGCCAATTGCATCAAAAAATATTCAAGTTGGCAATTTACCTACAATTAATATATTTAACCTAGGTCCTAAATTATGTAGATACCCACTTAGTTTAGCAAAAATAATGAACTTCAGAAACCCAAATAAGTGTATAAAATAAGCTTATAACACCCGTCTTAAGTATTAAAACTGTTAGCAATTAAAAAAAAAAAGGTTTATAAGTAACACTATCGAAATTAATTTTCACTTATCCACAGCTCGATCAGTGTGTGCGCTTAATTAATTAAATCAACATGAACTTTTAAGCTGGTTACTTTTTCAGTCCTCAATGGTCAAGCATTTTCTTTTCTCTATCGTAATATGTACACTCCAAAATTATTTTTTAATCACACCAGAGTGTTCATTCTAAGACCTAGGTTGATTTTTCAATGCTCATTCATTTCTCGCTCAAATTTGATTAAATTTCATCAGTGAAATTCACTACATCAATTTGTGATGATTCTCCCTAGGCTTAAGTCTCAAACACCAGACTTCAACTAGAAAAATAAATCTCACTAGAATCTAAATCCTGAATTAAGTATCCAAAACTTAACCTTACAAAAATAGTGCTTATAATTGTTTTGCCACTACTTCTGATGCGGATATCATTGGATCATCGGAATTTATTACATTGTCATCAGGAGTTACTTTTATTGTTATTGGATCTTATTTATTTATGTCTTCTAATTTTATTGTTATTGGGTTTGTATTAGTGGGTTAGCCCAAACCCGTCAATTACCTAGGTTTTCACTATTTAAACAGTTTTACATTACAGTTTAGACAGTTGAGGATTGAATAAAATTTGAGTTTGGCTTTGCCACGTTTTCTTCCTCTTCTCGGCTTCCTCTCCTTCTTCTTCTCAGCTTCTTCTCCTTACTACTCCTCGTCTTCTTTCTCATTCTACATCACTTTTACTTAAAATAAGAATAGTGACTTTGTTCAAAAATACTGAATGTGTTGTTGAGTTTCAAACTTTCTCATCTTTGCGTCTACACTTTGAATCTTTTTAATAAATGTAACTCGAAGAACCATTGAACAATTTCCATTCGAAGGAGTATTAGTTGATTAAATTCAAGCTTTGACATTAATTCATCCGCAATTTCCACTTAAAACAATTCAAGAAACAAAAATAAAAAACATTGTTAGTCAACTACAATGGTTGTTCTAAAGAGATCATCTAAACTTACTGTCTAGTTGTGCTTTATAATTTTTTTATGTCTAGAGTTTGTCTAAGCCTGTTAGACTTGCAACATTTTAAAGCTTAACTTTACCGTTCAACCACACTTTATACTTTTTCGAACATTGACTGTGTTGCTTCAACATGTAAATTATCAAAATCCACATAAACAGTGCATCAGAAATTGCTATCAGAATATTGTTCATGAACAACGAGTGATGTTAGTTATGTAATGAATTATGCTATAGATTTCTTATTTTTGTTTAGTCCTTAGCAGACAAAAGTATTCACAACATGAAATTTAGATGAAAGAAAGAAAGAATTGTCTCGTTTTTGGTCAACATCATCAATAAAAACATAAAAGGTTACTTCTGTAATGTAATAGGATAGCCATTGATTCTTCCATAATTACTGTGAATTAAAATTTATTTTTCTTTTCAAAAATTTCCCAAAAATAAATTATTTTTCCAAATCCCCGTCTATGACTATGGGAATGCCAACCTATAAATACTCTTCCTGTTCTCAATCCTCTTTCACAAATCCTTCTTGCTGCAGTTGCATGTATTCCTTCCAATTTTTATTAATCCGCAGAGGCCATGGACGATACGTGCGTTACGTGTGCTGAGGTATTAAACTGGGTGGCCTACGGTGCGTGTCGCCACAAGGATGTTTACTGCACCTGCGTGGCTCGCTCTCGATTCATATCCCACGATCGCTGCTGCTCTATTTGCAAGACCCCATCCAACGTCGTGTTTGTCACCAAGGTTCTGGAATATTCTGCATTATTTTTTGCTTCAATGTCGTACATAATTATGTCCATTGGTTTGTAAAATTCTTTGAATTCTAAACTGAATTAAACTAGGGTTTTGCTAAGCATTATTTAGTATCAATATCAACCAAAATTAGAAATATTTGCATGTAGCAAACGACTTTGTTTGGACAAATAGAAAGAATGAGTGCTTAATTAAAGACTTGATTGATATTGTTGGAAAGAACTACTGATAAGTCGAATTTCAGTAAAATAATTACTTCTAATAACCCCTTTGAGACCATGTTTCCAAATTCCAATCGAATAAAACCTTTCTTGTTTTGCTTGGATGCAATTAGGATTTGGGAGAATATACGAAAAGGATAGGGGATTTTTCTGTACTTCCACCGGATGTGGAAGAGGGTAGAGTGGGAAACTACTGGTACCATGAAGGCACGCAATCATTCTTTGATGATTCGGATCACTACAAGATGATAAAGGCCATGTGCGAGCTTTCTTGTAGCGTATGTGACGGAATTGATAAATTTAGGAGAAAGGAAAAGTTTAAGGATATTGAGGAACTCAAGGGTAACTTGTTCCATAAGCACAAGTTGTTCATGTGCGTCATGTGTTTGAAAGGAAAGAAGGTACATTATCGTTCCCATTTTTTTTCCCTCTCAATCTGTTTTGTTTTCTACTATTCCAGCATTAGTAAGTTACAATGCAGATGCTTCGGCTCTGGCGATGTCAATGATTTTTTGTTTAGTCTACTTTCTAAAGAGGTTAAGAGGATGAATGTTTGACAGGCTAACTCAAATTTGAAATATATTTTGATGTTTACTTTATTCTGACAAATGTTACCTCTAGAACTTGTAAGTACAAAATTAGTATAACTAATCAACAGAAGCATAATAATGGTGAGAGCCAAATCATTTATATTAACTTTTGTAATAAACAACTGCTTTCTGTTTGAGATGCACAGGTCCTGTAAAAGGCATTGACTTTCTCTATCCTTTTGAGTTAGGTTTAGTTAGTTCTATTTCTTGATGGGGGCTTATTAGTCAAATAACTCAGTGGTAGTGTGTCACCTCAAGATTTGGTTTGTTATTTATTGCTTCGTCGCCTTTGGGAGTTGTTTCTGGGAAGCGGAAAAAACATTAAAGCACGCAAATAGCCGAATGGAACACATTATATCAATATGTCATTATTATTGGTTGACATGACAATCTGATAAGCTGCTATTGGATTCTATCAGGTTTTCATTTGTGAGCAAAATTTGTACACTAGAGCACAACTGACTCGGCATATAAACAGAGGAGATTAGGAGGTGGATGCAACTGAAATTTATCGAGGTGACTTCATGGGGCATCCTCTATGTGAATTCTGCAGCATTCAGTTTTATGGGGAAAGTGAGCTTTATACACATATGTCCACTGAACATCATACTTGTCGTATGTGTCTAAGGTAATCCACGTGGTTCAGATTGAGCTACTTATGATTTGGTTGCAGTCTACATATTTATATATTAATATCTACACTTCCACACAGGCAAGATGCAGGACAATATGAATACTACAAAAATTTCAGAGACTTCGAGGTAATAGGTTATTGAGTTAGTGACATCTGAACTTTTTCAAAATTGCTATCATTATTTGGTTATCTAAAAAGAATAGCTTTTGTTTTCTATTAATTTGCAGAACCACTTCCATACATATCATTTCT